GGAGGGGGCACAGCCGGGACAGCTGACCCAGGCTGGCCAAAGGGATATTCCATACTATATGACATCATGCCCAGTACATAAACTGGAGTTGGCTGGGAGGGGGGAAATCGCTGCTCTGGGACGGGCTGTCGATCGCCGGGTGGTGAGCAATCGCTGTACTGGGCATCACTTGTTCTTGTACATTCCTTTGTCGGTATTATTATTGTTGTTATTGTTGTTTCCTTCTCTCTTGCTGTCCTATTAAACTGTTTTTATGTCAATCCACCAGGTTTTTTTCCAATTCTCTCCCTGTCCCACTGGGGGAGGGGGGAGTGAGCGAGCGGCTGCGTGGTGCTTAGTTGCTGGCTGGGGTTAAACCACAACAGCTTTCTGTAAAACTGCTGTCATACCCTGAATCTAAAGCACAAGGCATCATTTCTCACCAGAGGCAGGAACACAATATAAAACTCCAAACAGATTTTTGGCCGATTTCCTTCCATTTTATGTATTATTCCTTAAGGTCTGTCCCTGAATCCAGGACATCTTTATATACCTGTAGGTAACATTTAAAATTAATGGCAGTCTTTCAGTTGAGTTTAATGGGATCTGCTGTATTTTATCACATCTCAGTTGTGAGATGAACTATGTGTACAAGGAAGTCTTAAGACCTCTGTCTTTCCCTGGATGAGTTGCTTAGCAGATAGTCTGCTGCTGCCAGTAGTCTGCTACTTGTCTTCGTATCGTGGAGGGCGGAGGCATCCAGCATAGACAGAGATAGTTGATCAGACCAAGATTACAGTGTTTGCCACTAAAATTAGCATCTACCTACACTTGTCGCACTGTCGTATTTTATAAAAGGCAGCTATTTCCTATATTTATTGAGATGCTTGCTGTAGCATTTTTTTCGTATTTACCTTTTGATAAGTTCAGGTGGCTGAAAATCCAATTCCTTCTGAGTCCAGAAAACTGAAGGTTTTTTTAAAATATCTGTGTCATCTTTCCACCTTAAGTAACCTTCCTTCCTTCCTTGGCCAGCTTTGTTTTTTGGGCCACAACACAGCAGCACCCATTTGCTGTATCTCAGTTGACCACAGTTGCCTTCAAGAGGACTCTTTGGGGCAGAGTTAGCTATTAGTGTGCATTATTTTGTGGCCATACATACTAAGCATTTTGGGACAGGGTTTGGCTTCGTGTTGTGTCTCACACAGCACCAAGCAAAAGAGTTGTGATCTGTGTGACAGCTGTAGGCGAAAAGTTCACCATCTGATCCCCTGTGAGTGCCAGCTACTTTTGTGTCTGTTTTGCTCCCATGGTGATTGCAGCTTCAGGGTCTGCTTCCTCCACACCTCTTCGATCAAAACAAACCTTTTCCTTGAGGTTTAAGGTATTTTATGAAGCACATGTGTTAGATGTAGGTTTTGAATAGAAAGACATGTTGAACACTGGCTAGTTTGATAAAATTTTTTTTAAAGGTTTAGGTGTGACTTGCTCATATGGTGACAGGTTTTGGTGCTTCTATGTCTCCTGGAAATTGGGCAGGCAAGTGGTTTAGAGGTGGATTAGGGTACTCCTGTGGTCTAGTTTTGTTTAGCAAAGGGAGGTGGCAAGATCCAGTTGTCACTTAGTACTGGCATGAGTTGCAGGGGCTTCTGCAGTTTGTTGTTATGAAGGAGAGAGACTCTGAAAGGGCACGAACCATATCGTTCCTCCCCTGTCATTGCAACGTGGCTCAGGTGGGGTGTGCAGCAGATGGCTTTGTGGCTCCTGTATGCCGTGGGGCCTGTGAGAACTGCTCAAGTCCTCACGTCCAGCTGTGGTGGCCCCTTGGGCTGTCCCTGTGGTGTCTGAGACATGGTCAAGATTTTAGGATGGGTAACAAGAATAAGCTATATAAACAGAAGAATGTGATGATATTTCATTGCTGCTAAACTTGAAGAGACTACTGTTTAAGTGCAGTGCCAAATAGGTTGAAATTGTTTTTTCACATTTTTTTGATTGGTATATTGTGTACTAAACACAGATGAGCATGCACACACACATACAATCTACAAATCTATTAATGATTATCCTCTTATCATTCTCCGCTAAAATTTTTCTTTTGCTGTCGGAGAGGCGTGCACATATATTAGCACATATATTAGCATTTACCCGATTCTGTTGGTAGTATCTTGTTTCTGAGGGTCAGCACCTTTGCCTACACATTCGATGGTGTGATAATGCTGAGGTTTGTTTGAGTGGTAATGAATAACCTGCATGCTAAAGATTCTTATCCTTTCCTTGCCAAGTGGTGTTGCAATAATTGAAAACATGCTTTAGTAGGCTCTTAGAAGTTGATTACAAAACTGTAATTTTGCTAGATTTGCTAGATTCTTCTATGCTAATGTCAAGGTGGTTTGTGCTGCCAGCTTATAAATGGAGAAAATACTGACCTATTAATACTGTAATACTGAGCAGCAGTTCAGTCGCTTCTGTGTCCTGCAGACAGGCAGACTCATTTGGTGAGATTTGGAATTTAACATGCAGATTATCAGGCCAAACCTCCTCTTTTCATCAGACAGACCCTCATTTTATATAGTAGGGATTAGCACAGTTAAATTGTATTTTGAAATGATTGTTTCAACCCTCTATCTGATTAGGGCTGGTTGCTGATTTAGGGGATTTTGCTTTGTCTCCATGCCTTATTCTCACCCATCTGAAAGTGTATTTGCTTTACTTCTCGTAGCTGGCTACATAATAGTAGTATAGGGATTGTATTACACTTCCCAATCTGTCAATGTGGAGGACTGGGCAAGAGCATAACAAACCAGTATTGCTTCAACTCCCTGTCTCCAAGGTAAGGCTAATCAGCTTTTGTTGAAAACAGCATTCAAGGATTGCTTTATCTCTCTTACTTGTTTTTTAACTTCTTAGTGCCAGATGCTTCAGTGCATGCAGTGCCAGGAAAAGACTTGCGCTCCCTGGACTAGTACTGTCACTTTTGCACAAAGACATTTAATACTGTTTTTCCCCGATCCAGTAATGAGTTTGATGTGGTAGTTAGGACCCCAGACATCATGCATTCTGTCTCTAGGCTGGAGTTCAACTTACTTTGTGTTTCCAGCATCTTTCACATCTTGTGACAGTTTTTCACATTTCATTATTAAAGAACTTGAACTATTTTTTCTGGTTCAAATCCTGTGTCTTAATAGCTTCTTAGTGTAGCTGCTGTCCTTCTGGCTGAAAAGAAACAAGACAGGATTTCATCCAGACCCTGCCAGTATTGTTTTATAGTCTTTTTAATATCTAGCCACCTACACTTCACAGGTTTTAATATAAGTAAAAGTTCAGGGGGGAGGGGGTACTTTTCTAACAGCAATTCTACTCTTCAAAGTAAAAACATTCTCTCTACATGTGTGTGCTTTCCTGTGAAAGCTGATAGCATTATACTTTAAACGTGGAAAACATAGCCCTTGTAGATCTCCAGACTGCACAGTCTGAACATTGACTGAAGTATTCTTCAGAAAGCCACTGGGGATTTATTATTCCTGATTTACAGCTGGAGAAAATGAGGGGATTGTTTAGTTGGTGGTGGTACTTTCACTCTGGTTGAGAAGGCAGATTGGATTTGAGAAAGGAGATTCTGAGCCTTGTGCTCCTTTTGACTAGTGCACACCCTGCCACAGTAGAAATAGGCAGATTAAACCTCTTAACTGATTAGAGTTGGTTTAAGACTTTTTGGATTGTATTCTATATCTGTTCTGTTTCAGAGATGTGAGTGAGAAATAATCACAAAACCTGTATCTTACATTCGAGAGTTTTGTTGAACTGTGTTTCTGCAACTATTGATGATGCAATGCAAAATACATGGTTTCTTCAGCAGGGTGCACTGAAGATTATGGCACTGGGTTAATACTTGATTGCTGTTCTCAGACCTATAGCAGCCTGCTGTGTAACTGTAGG